GTTCTCTACTGACTCAGTTGGTTCTCTACTAACTCAGTTGGTTCTCTGCAGACTCAGTTGGTTCTCTACTAACTCAGTTGGTTCTCTTCTGACTCAGTTGGTACTCTGTGTGGCAGTATTTATATACAAGTACTGTACATAATATCCCCACACACACACACAAAAAAGTGCCACCATTTTGTAGTTTTCTTTCTTAAGTCTTCACTGTTTTGCCAGTCTAAAGAACTACGTTACCCAGAAGCCATCAGTTCAATTCCAGGAAGTCAACACTGCTCTTTCAACCACTGCTTTCTGCAAATGGAGGGAAACCATGTTCAGTCAGGTCATCTGGACGGTTTCTTTTTTGTCTGAGATGTTTCGCCTTCCATCCAGAAGGCTTCATCAGTCTGAGGAAACAGCAAACAAAATAGATTCTCCCCCAACAGGTTCACTGCAAAGTGGAAAAAACAGTCAGGTCCTCTGGACAGTTTCTTTTTTGTTCTGAGACGTTTCACCCTCTATCCTCCTTAAATGGAGGGAAAGTTTTGCAGCAAAGTCAGAAGTTCTGTAAGTTCTGTTGCTCACAGGACTGGCAGGAAAGTCACAAATCATTCTGAAGCTAAACTCGTCCTTCAAGTTGTATCTTCACTGCTGAGTAGCTGTTGATCCAGAATCAGTGTGACCCAGATCTTGGGAGCTGCAGACGACAGACGGCTGCAGGGTTCAGTCAGTGCTGGTCCAGACCGGGCCAGAAGTGGTGGATTAAATCCTGGGCAACAGCACGTGCACATCAAGCTGAATGGAGCGGTGGGCTTCAGTCATGCTGTACCAGGACTTTTTTCATTTATCGGGTCGGACCGGAACCGAGCTGCTCCTGTACAGCAGAGCCTGTAAGTAGAATTTTGAAGCTCTTGTACATGTAAGTCAGTAGGTTTCAGAGTGTAGAGGACTGACTGGGCGTCATCGCTGCAGGACTGTCTGCAGAAACGAACCGAGTCGGACTAGAACAGAGTTGGACCAGAACCAGAGCTGTTGCTGTTCTGCAGAGCTAGTAAGTAAAATTTAGTAACATATGTTGTTAAAATGATGCAGGTGTAAGAGTTTGGAACATTCCAAGAGTGTGGGAAGGGTTTCTAAAGCCTTCTTATAAAGTTGACTGTCCTTGAACTTGGACTACCCTACTTCAAGGTTTTTCACTTGTCGCGGGGCTTCAGGGTACGGATCCCCCGCAATAAACGAGGGACTACTGCACTGACTTTGTAAAACTTTTGTAAATGTACTTTAAATAATGTTTTCTCATTGCTGTTGTTGTGCTCTGACTTGGATCTTATGGGGTTTGAAGAGAATCTTTAGAAAAATGTCCTGGTCTCAATAATCCAGGGAGATCTAACCAGGTTCAGTCAGGTCCTCTGGATGGAAGCTCCTTTGGTGAAACCTTTTATCTTTTATCAAGAAGACTAGACTTTTAGGTTTTATCCAAAACTAGGGATGCATATTAGATTTTTGGTCAATATCCAATAACAATATTTTTTGTATATTTTCTTTGTCAGAATGTAGCCTCTATAATATATAATATGCATATATTCGGTAACAGCCGTATGATATGCATATATTCGGTA